AGACCTGCAGCAGAGGGGCCTGACTGCTAGAAGGAAAACTAACAGAGAGAATAGTAACAACATCAACAAAAGGGATGTCTGCTTAGAGATCCCATCTGAAGGTCACCAACATCAAAGACCAAAGATAGATAAATCCATGAAGAAGGAAGCAACCAGTGCAAAAAGTTGAAAATTCAAAAAACTACAATGCCTCTTCTCAAAAGATCACAACTCCTCGCCACCAAGGGAACAAAATTGGACAGAGAATGAGTTTGACAAATTGACAGAAGTAGGCTTCAGAAGGTGGGTAATAATAAACTCCTCTGGGCTAAAGAAGCATTTTCTAACCCAATGCAAGGAAGCTAAGAACCTTGATAAAAGGTTGGACAAATTGCTAACTAGAATAAGCAGTTTAGAGAAGAACATAAATAACCTGATGGAGCTTAAAAACACAGCACAAGAATTTCATGAAGTATACACAAGTAACAATAGCCAAATCAAACAAGTGGAAGAAAGGATATCAGAGACTGAAGATCAACTCAGTGAAATAAAGCAAGAAGACAAGATCAGAGAAAAAGGACTGAAAAGAAACAAACAATACCTCCAAGAAATATGGGACTGTGTGAAAAGACCAAATCTGCATTTGATTGGTGTACCTGAAAGTGATGGAGAGAATGGAACCATGTTGGAAAACCCTCTTCAGGATATTATCCAGGACAACTTCCCCAACCTAGCAAGGCAGACCAACATTCAAATTTAGGAAATACAGAGACCACCACAAAGATACTCCTCGAGAAGAAGAAGATAATGCCAAGACACAATTGTAAGATTCACCAAGGTTGAAATGAAGGAAAAATGTTAAGGGTTATCAGGGAGAAAGATCATGATACCCACAAAGACTAACAGCAGATCTCTCAGCAGAAACTCTACAAGCCAGAATAGACTGGAAGCCAATACTCAACATTCTTAAAGAATTTTCAACCCATGATTTCATATCCTAATTCTTTGCTTCACAAGCAAAAGAGAAATAAAATCCTTTACAGACAAGCAAATACTGAGAGATTTTGTCACCACCAAGCCTCTCTTACAAGAGCTCCTGAAGGAAGCACTAAACCAGTACCAGTCACTACAAAACATACCAAATTGTAAAGACCACCAACGCTATGAAGAAACTGCATCAATTAACTGGCAAAATAACCAGCTAGCATCATACTAACAGGATCAAATTCACACATAACAACATTAAATAGAATGGGCTAAATGCCCATTACAACTTAAATGTAAATGGGCTAAATGCCCCAATTAAAAGACACAGACTGGCAAATTGGATAGAGTCAAGACCCATTGGTGTGCTATACTCAGGAGACCCATCTCAGGTGCAAAGACACAGATCGGCTCAAAATAAAGAGACGGAGAAATATTTATCAAGCAAATGGAAAGCAAAAAGAAAAAAAAAGCCAGGGTTGCAATTCTAGTCTCTGACAAAACAGACTTTAAACCAACAAAGATCAAAAGAGACAAAGAAGGGCATTATATCATGGTAAAAGGATCAATGCAACAAGAAGAGCTAACTGTCCTAAATATATATGCACCCAATACAGGAGGACCCAGATTCATAAAGCAAGATTTTAGAGACCTACAAAGAGACTTAGACTCCCAAACAATAATGGCAGGAGACTTTAACAAGCCATTGTCAATATTAGTTCAACGAGACAGAAAATTAACAAGGATACCCAGGACTTGAACTCACCTCTGAACCAAGCAGACTAATAGACATCTACAGAATTCTCCATGCCAAGTCAACAGAATATACATTCTTTTCAGCTCAACATCACACTTATTCTGAAATTGACCACATAATTCAAAATAAAACACTCCTCAGCAAATGCAAGGTAATGGAAATCTTAACAGTCTATCAGACCACAGTGCAATCAAATTAGAACTCAGAATTGAGAAACTCACTCAAAACCAAACGACTACATGGAAACTGAACAACCTACTCCTGAATGACTACTGGGTAAATAACAAAATTAAGGCATAAATAAAGCAGTTCTTTGAAACCAATGAGAACAAAGACACAGTGTATCAGAATCTCTGGGACATAGTTAAGCAGTGTGTAGAGGGAAATTTATAGCACTAAATGCCCACAGGAGAAAGAAGGAAAGATCTAAAATTGACACCTTAACATCACAATTAAAAGAACTAGAGAAGCAAGAGCAAACAAATTCAAAAGTTAGCAGAACACAAGAAATAACTAAGATCAGAGCAAAACTGAAGGAGATAGAGACACGAAAACTCCTTTAAAAAAATCAATGAATCCAGGAGGTAGATTTTTGAAAAGGGCAACAAAATAGATAGACCACTAGTCACACTAATAAAAAAGAATCAAGTAGATGAAATAAAAAATGAAAAGGGGGATATCACCACTGATCCCACAGAAATACATACTACTATCAGAGAAAACTATAGCTACCTCTACACAAATAAATTAGAAAATCTAAAATAAATAGATAAATTCCTGGAAACATACACCCTCCCAAGACTAAACTAGGAAGAAGTTGAATACCTGAACAGATCAATAACAAGTTCTGAAATTCAGGCACTAATTAATAGCCTGCCAACCAAAAAAATAGTCATGAACAGACAGATTCACAGCCAAATTCTACCAGAGGTATGAAGAGGAGCTGGTACCATTCCTTCTGAAACCATTCCAAATAATACAAAAAGCAGGAATCCACTCTAACTTATTTTATGAGGCCATCATCACCCTGTTACCAAAACCTGGCAGAGACAACAACATAAGAAATTTTCAAGCCAAAATCCCTGATGAACATCGATGCAAAAATCCTCAATAAAATACTTGCAAACCAAATCCAGCAGCACATCCAAAAGCTTATCCACCACGATCAAGTCGGCTTTATCCCTGGGATGCAAGGCTGGTTCAGCATCTGTAAATCAACAGACATAATCCAGATACCATGTAAAACTCCTAGGAATTTCCTTTTAGTCTAGATGTCTTTCCTCTAGCCTCCTGGTCCCCTGTAAAGCATCCAAATGGTTTTTGCCATGGGTCTTGTACTGACGCAAAGCCAGATTTTGATAACTCGTTTCCTTGTCATTCCTGAGTCTGAATCCAGGGATTCCATCTTTTCTGCTTTCATCTTTGGGTTTTGCCTGGAACCTTGTATCCTTCTCAGCTCTAGGTACTATCTTATTTTTCCACTGCCTCCTCCATCTCCTGAGGTCTTATTATCCAAGAATAAACCTCCCTTACTTTTTGCTATTCAAGTTAGCTGATTTGCTCTTCAGCTTCACCTCGATTCACACATCAAAAAGTATCTATTGAGCACAAATTAATTCCAGGCATTGAGTATCTATCAATGAAACAAAGAGACATGGGCCATGCTCTGCGGTAAGGGCATGGATTCCCAGTTCTTCGCTCTGTGCTAGAATCTTCCTCTGTCTCCAGCCCTACTCTTCACCCTGGTTATCTGCCTGAGCCTGAAGGAAAGGTGTACACCTGTTTGGGGCTGCTCTTTCATGTTTTCCTGCCCATGTAGGTAATTATACTTTCAGGTCTTGATGTCTCTCCGCCTCCCCTCTCCTGTAGATCACTGAGTTGGCCTAGCAGATGCCCGAAGGCAGGAAGACGTGATGTTTTGTCTTTGAGAAAACAAGAAAGGTTTGGAGCAACTACTTTCAAGAATGAAATTAATTACTTTAGAATAGGAGATTAACTGGCTCAGCTCAGGTTAATGAACAGCTCAATTGGAATTGTAAGTATACACATATTATTAATGTACTTTTCAATAATATTTTATTTATTCATCTCAGTCTCTTTGTGGCTTAACACAAATTGGGAATGGGGATGAGGAGGTGTGGAAGGGAGAACATGAAAGGAAAAACTAACTTGTACTGAACTCCTGTGATATTACAAAATATTTATTTCATTTAAAATACATCACTCCTGTGAGATAGTTATTAACCTATCAATGATTCATATACAAGAACATAAAAAATGACTTACTCAGGATCACACAGGGACTAACTGGTAGTCTTAGATTAACCTAAGCCTATACAGTACCAAATTTATATTTTTTAGAACGCTTTGTAGCATTTAAAAATATGTGAGTATTTCTATGTGAAATGCTGCATTCCTGATCTATACATCTTCAAATGTGATGATATGCAAGCTACTGCAGCTGAATCTTTCTCAAACTCTAATCACTATATGAATCACCTGAGGATTCCACTTAAATGCAGAGTCTAATTCAGTAAGCCCAGAGTGAGATAGAAGAATCTGCATTTCTAACAAGCTCCCAGCTGATACGAATACTGCTGGTCTAGGGAACACACTTTGAGTAGCAACACCTTAGTCCACTACCCTAGATTTTAGGGAGAAGAAAACAGAGGCTCACATAAGATGAGAAGATTCTTTGATAGCAAATTAAGTAGTGACAAAGCCAACAAGACCGAAAAGTCCAGTGCTCCTCTCACTATGTTCTTTATATACATAAAATATTATTTAAGATTACAAAACACATCAAATATATTCATTTGCTCTGTTTTTGCATTTGAAAATAAATTTTAAAACCAGAAAAAAAAAATGTGTATTAATGGTAAAACTTGATGCTTTATCTTTTTAAGAACAAAAAATGTGAAGAATAATTTCAAAAACAGATAACACAACTTCTGGAGAATGTATTTATCACGTATCGAATATGCAAAGTATATTCCTCATGAAATCAAGTCAGAAGACTCTTGTTGAAGAGAACGCATATTTTTTTAATGTTCTCTTCGGAGTTTATTACAAACCAGTTTCAGAGCTCATAAGGAAACAAAAGGACCATGTACAGCCTTACGGGAAACAGGCAGGGAGCTGAGGAGGACCAGGATGAGTCTAGGGCCTTGGTGGGTGCATTCCCGGGGCGGGGCGGGGGCTGTAAGGGAAATCAGACAATCCAGTGGGACTCCGCGAACAGCAGCATAACAAACAGGTCTGTGGTATCATAGCCCTGAGCAATCGAGTCCACACCTCTGCGGAGCTACTTCCATACTCTGTGGCCAAGGGTCAAAGAAGGCCTCGCATCCCAGGGGGAGGAGGCGCAATTCCCGGAGGGGGAATGCCCATTGGAGTCCCTCTTCCAGGAGGGATCCCCACTGGGGGACCCATAGGAGGCCTCATACCAGGAGGCGGGCCCATCATGCCTGGAGGGGATGCTTCTCGTCCCATAGGAGGGGGAGGACCCCCACGGCCAGGTGGGTACTGTGTCCAGGCCCCGGCAACATTGGCTGTGGCAGCAGTTGGAGCCCCTTCCCTGTGGGGTCATCACCTGTTGAGATGGCCCACCAACCCCACGGACTGACCCAGCAAGTCCTGCAGGAGCCTGGGGCATGGGAACCCCAGCTGGGATTCCTCTGCCAGCATCCCTGCCAATCCCTGGACCCCCGGCAGCTCCAGCAAGCGGTACTCGAGCAATACCAGTGTCTTTTGGCGGCGGTCCCTCTACCGTCACTGAGACCAGGTTCTCCCCTCGCAGCAGCACCAGACCAAGGGCTCGCTTCTCTTCCCTTTCAGCTTGTTTTGAGTTCTTTGGCTTGATCTTCCGGAACTCATCACAGTCACAGAGGATCAAATTCATGTGCTTGTCAAAAGCCTTGAAGGGGCCGATGAAGATCCGGCCGTCCCTGCAGTCAGCATGCTGCAGCATCTTACTGCTCTGCTCTTGGCCACCGTCCTAAGGAGGGCTGCTGGGCTCTTCTCCCTGGTCTTAGGACAGAGAACGTTTTGCTGCCATCCCTGTAATTCTCCAGCATCACTTCTCTGTATACATTCCTCTGCTCTGGACTCAGTCTCTTCCATTCTGCTTCCGTGGAGATCACAGTCACATCCCTGAACGTAACGGGTACCACGATTTGGGCCTTTCCCTCCTTTTCCTGGGGCCAGTCAGGATCATTAGAAGGCAAGCTTTTTGCTTTATGATTTTTGAGCCAGTTTCTTCATGGTCTCTCTATTTTCCCCATTCGTTAAAAGGAAAATCTCCTCCCAGTCTTCATCTCCCAGTGCTGAAGGATAAGGCAACATGATGGCCCCAGAGTCAGCCCAGTATGTGCCCTGAAATTCTGCCAGAGGTCCAGGTACATGCTATTTCAGCTCAAGATGGATTCTGCTGCCTGTAGTGACTTCTTCCAACCTTAATTGCAAAAGCCTATCTTTTTTCCATGCAGCCGGGACCAGACAATAGGTTCTCAGGGGCACAGAACTCTTTCCCTTCTCAAGAGATAGTCTTCTCCTGGCAGACGGGATTGGGGACGGTGGGCCAGAGCCAGTGGGTGAGTTCCCTCAGACCTCATGTGCCAACCTATGCCAGAACTACAGTTCCAGCATCCTCGCAGGCTTCAGCTCCAATTGGTAGGCATGGAGCTGCTTCTGGGCCGTGCAACGGTTAATCTACCAGGACAGGGACTACTGCAGTGACAGCCTCTGTCTCTTCTCTTAAAATACCCAGGCTCAAAACAGGTTCTGGCTCCCGAGTGAGATCTCTGTCCCCTCGGCCAAAGAGAACACATCTTTAAGGTAAAATGGCCAATTAGATGAGTCAATCCAATCCAAGAAGCTAATTTCAGTAAGAATTATACTCATCTAAAGAATCACATAAGTAACTCCCTTGTCCACTATTTTCAAGTCCTGAAGTATAAACAACTATAGTGGAGAGAAAAACTGTCTCTTTGACCTCCAAAGACTTGATAATTGAGTCTGTGAAATACACAGTAGACCGATTAACAGGAGAAGAGGCATCCAAATTTATTACATACATGGAAGATCACAGAAAGAAAATGGAATGTCCCAAAAACCCAGTGAAGATATGGAAGTGTATATACTCTCTTCAGTGGGGAGAATAGACAGGGTATGCAGGCAACTTAAGAGACCACAAATGATTTGGGAGGAAGATGAATAGGTAGAGCCTGTGACAGAATCTGTCTGGATCCGGCACTGATCTTCAGTCTCTGATCCTGTGGTGTGGTTAATGAGATTCCCGGGGGGAGACTCGTTGAGGAGAAAACTGAGTTCCCCTTGGAAGACTTCCCTTTAGTCAGATAACAGACATTCAGAGAGAGTCCTTTCCTGTGTCTAGAGGGATAAATAAATGAAAGATAGAGGGGTAGGAGAAGGTCAGAGAGACCTTGTTTCTCTTCTAGCTCAAAGCACTCAGCATGCCAAAGTGCTATACTTTGGGGTATCATTCTCTGAGCCCAGCACAAAATAAAGTTATGATTTGGCATTTTAGCCATGCTAATTATCGAAAGACTACTCAAATATTCTCTGACCAAAATTTTATTTGTTTCTACTAGTTTTTTTCTAATTCTTAAGTTTTCCTGCTACTATAACCCAGCTCAGCCTGCAAATCTCTACCACCCATATTTTTCCAAATTTGATACTTTATTACAACTACCTCTAATTCTCACTATAAAAGCTCTTAAATTCTTTTAATCATTTACCTTTTAATTAGGTACTTTTCACTAAATCAAAGGTTTAAAATGTGTTGCCTATTTTCTTCATAAGATTTTTTTGCATATCACATAATGTAAAAAAATAACAATTTCAATCAAGAAATAGAAAATCTGAAAATTCCTAGGTATAGGTTAATATGACAGCTAAATAAGATTAAAAACTGGAATAATTATTAAGGCAATGCACTACATTAACAGAATACAGGGAAAATATAACCATTAGGATATAAAGGGCATTTTATGAAATTCAGTATCCAATCATGATTTTTAAAAAGGAAAAAATAGAAATCTTATAGAAAGCCAAAAATTGAAAGAAAATCCTTAAACTGAAAAAAGGCATCTTCACAATCTTCTCCAAAAAAAGACATTCCACAAATATGATGCTCAATGATTGGAAAAGCATACAGGCTGCTTGCAGAGTGTAAGATTTCTTCACAGAAGACCCAAATACTCTACCAATTCAAATTCATCGAGTTTAGCAAAATTTCTGCTTTTAGAGTCAATACACAAAGGTCAATTTAACTTATAGACATAACCAAACAAAAATTAGTTTAAAATGTACATTTAAAAAGATATTCTAAAATTTTTAAATTACCAAGAAATAAATCTAACAAAAAATGTACGAGATTTCTAAATAGCAAATGACAAAATGTTGTCGAAGGACATTAAAGAACGAGGTAAACTGAAATATATATATACATCATATTTATAATGACTATTCAAAACCGTAAAGGTGTTAATTTTGTTCAAATCAGGTATCAAAATTATACTGAGGGTCAAATCATGCTTTTTATTGTCATTTAATCATTTATTCTTTAACACATATAATTAGCATATATAAAAATAATGTATAATCTGCCCTTACTAGGGCTATTTTAATTATGAATAAAGGATAAATCAACTTCAACTAGCTTAAGCAATAAAGGGAATGTTCTCACAACCCTAGAAAGGTCTAGGGATCAATCTAGATTCAGGTCCACTAGACTCAAGAACTCAATGTCATCATTAGGACTCTGTCAGTCTGATTCTCCCCTTATCTCTCAGCCATCTTTTCCTTTGTTATGTTCATTCTCAGCATCTTCCCACCTGGTAGCTGTCTGTTACAGCTTTAAAAACACCAAGTTTTTAAACTACTATATAATTTAACCATGCTATGTCTTGACAAATGACCTAATTCATGTAAAACCCAAAAAATAACAGACTGAGCCTATATTCGAGAGTTTGATTCTACCCATTAGTTCCATTAACTCGAATAAATCCAACCTATAATATTACTAGTAAATCAGTGTCCCTAAGTACTCTGTATATTGCAGTGAATTTTCATATGTATTTAAATATTTAAGAAATAAATGCAATGAATGGCATACTATGTGTGTGTGTGTGTGTGTGTGTGTGTGTGTGTGTATACCAAAATATATATAGTGACAAATATTTTTGGTCCAATTTGCATTATTATATAACATGTATTTCCTAGGACTGTGTTCACTGTATCCTCTCTCTCTGCTCCATAAATAAATGTATACCTCTAATGGATGGATCACATATATTTTATTTCACTATGTTATTCCTCCTGCTGGGTTTAGCCTTATCAAAGCACGTATCTTAAACTGTAAACTACAGTTGCAAGTTTCGGTATACATTTTCTCTCCTGTCTAGATTACAAATCTCTGGAGACCTCACACTATCTCAAGTCATACTTGTTTTTTCATCAAGGCTCAGCCATGTGCCTGTCCAAGAAAAATACATAGTAACGTTTTATTGAATTGAATGGTTCAGCGTAGTTCTTTTGATGAGAAGAAACTATGGGCTACCTCTTTCATTTAATGTGTTTTCTTTTTAGGAATTTTGAATTGTTCAATTTAGGTTCTGAAAGTATCTTAGGGTTTTCTCTTAAAAGCATAAAGTAATACTTTAATTTAAAAAATCCACAAGAGATTTATCACTGAGACGACAAAAGTGAGTTTAGCCATCATCCCTCCTCCTTTCTTCATCCCATTGCCTTGTTCCTCTTTATAAGCACAATGGTTGCATAAAAAATATAAATTGCCTGCAACACTGACATTTCCTTTCCATCTCTCCTTATTATTAGTTACTTCATTACCTTATCACTAGTTACTCACTATTTCATTACTCTCTTCTTCATTACTAGTGTTTCCATGGAATCAGTAATTAATAGTAAAAGGATAAATTCTTTATCAAATAGAAAGTCTATTTTCTGAACATAAGATTTATTAAAAGTTTCTAGCCTTTGATATTCTAAAGCTCCAGTAGGATTTTTAAGAATAAGGAGATATATAAAAAGCTCGTAGTTGGATCTTGGGAGCAGGCGGATGGTCCACCGTGAGGTGAGCCACTGCCCACCTCCCCCCAAAAAAAGAATAAGCGTTGGGCTTACCAGCTTGAGAAGCCGAGTTTATGAATTTAGCCACAGACAGATTAGCAGCTGACAATATGGATTACAAAGACTAACAGAAGCAGAAAATAGAAATCATCTGATACTTTCTACTTAATGGGCTGTACACAAATTAATAGAGCAAATAAAGATGATTTGGGGTAATAAGTCAATCTACTGTCAAGTTTTCCATGGAAATGTTTGCAAACAAACTGTAATTGGGTTCTTACTTTATTTAGTTAGCTATGTTTGAGATATCTTTGAAGATAAGATCATTGACTCTCATTCTTAGCGGAAGCATTGAAAAGTAACCTTTATAAAAAAAAAAAAGCTTATGAATACAAATGGATTTAAATGGGAATCTATTATCGCCTCAATGCTTGTATGCCACTCCATTAATATTAATGAGATTTAGACATAAGCATTTATGGGAGATAAATAGACTCTTATTGCATTTACTGCAAGATTGCCTCGTTCAGAAACCTTCAGTGTTGAACTTAACCACAGTTGCCAACAACAATGAATATAAAAAGAAGAAAACTTCAATATTTATAGCTTTTATTTTCTCTCTCTCCCTCTCAAATATATACCATTCCCTGCAGAAAAAGGGAATTAAAAATATATGCATTTATTGGCTTGTAAAATTTTGCTTCAAGTGACAAGCTCACTTCTTACATAAATAATTAATAAGATAGAAATGAATATGTAGTAGGCTCATTTCATTCCTCTAAGGGTTAAGTTCCATTTCTGTAAATTGGTTTGTACCCTATTTCATTCCTATCTGTCTTCACATCTGGGTATTTTCTTTGCTTCTTTCATGGTGATTTGAGATCA